TGGGCTGATATGATCACCCATATGGGGCGAATCTGAGATTAATGTAAGCAAAAGGATAGGGCATTTAACCTTATGCACTCTTGGAGACCAAATTCAAATTAGATTTGAATCTGGTAACCTCCTGATAAGATCAGGAGTAAGCTAACTTAATCTGTAGATAGGATTAAGATTATCTCCTATCCAAATACTGATTTGGATTGGGATAACTCCTAATTAGGAGTTTTCTTAATCAAGAAGAAAAGAGGAAAAACAAGTGTTTGTGGAATCATATGAGATTTCGAACCACTTCTTGGTACACAAGGGATACCTCCTGCGAATTGAGATWAGATCTCAATTGTACTCCAGAGAGAAGAGAAGCAAGTTCAGCCATCTTCGTCCCAGGAGTTCTCGTCCAACCGCTACCATTCCCTCTTGCAAGATTCGATCTTTGCAGTAAAAGGAAGTTAAGAAATCAGTTCTTGACATCAGTCTTGCAAGAAAGACTGAAAATACTCAGTGTTTAGTGTTTCCAGAGGGTTCTTTCGAATGATCCAGTGTGTAGGACACACCCTGCTGGTTCTGTTCCATCCACAGCCGTGTCATCTTCAGCAGGAACGGATCTTGGTGCATTCTTTGGGCGTGAACAACTTTGGGAGATACTGTTTCTCCGGATCAGGTATATTCCTCCCTTTTACTTTTTGGTTCAGATCTGGTTCGATTATGGTTCAAGTAAAATCCTTGAATATGGTATTCTAAATTTAGGGAATATGATTCCTAGTTGGAAGAAGGTAAGAAAATTTTTGAAATTCGCCCTCCCATTCCGCAACCTTATTGGCATCCATTAGATGAATCCTACCATTCTTTCACCAGCCCAATCTTTCCAGACTCTTCCCCTTGCCGTGCAGGTGCTTTCTACAAATGGTCCTTGCACTAAGGACCCCAAAAAGCACCACCTAGACAGGCATAGGGTTCAATTCAACCAAGAAAGACAATCATCGACAAGAAGACCAGACTCTCTAGCTTGCTCCCTTGCAAGTAATGTTCACAGCAAGTCACATTGTTCCACCCAGGTTCTGGTGAAAGAACGGTTTGATCAGCGTTTGCCACAACCGCCAATCTTGATTGCTTAATCTAGTTTAGTTTGAGACTGGCCTACAATACCAAAGGGAGAAAAGTTCATAGGCACAGTTCCAGCCGACAAAGACACCAAAATTAGGGAACTAAGAGAACGCTTGGTCGAACTGGAATGTAGCCAAGTAGACAGAAGCATGACTCCTCCAACATTCCAACCCATAGAACACCACAACTTGCTTGTGAAGGAACTGGTCTTCTTCCAAGAGATTGTAGATGAACTCCCGCCAACTAGTTGGCGACCTCTGCAGTTCGAGAAGTACGACAGAGCCTTTGACCCCAATGGCCACATCAAAAGGTTCAAGGACATGATGATACTGCATAGCTCGTCTGAAGGATTGATGTGCAAGGCCTTCGTCGCCACCCTCTACGGAGTCGCCAAGACATGGTATGCCTCCTTTCCTCCATAGTCCATATCTTCTTGGGAACAACTGGAGACCAAATTCTTGGCACAGTTTATGGCCAACGAAAGACATTGGAAGACCTCAACTAGTCTCATGCAGGTGTGGTAGAGGAAGGAGGAAACCCTAAGAGAGTACTTGGCGAGGTTCAACGCTGAGGCCCTACAAGTCCGAGCTTTGGACCAGTCTGTAGCAATGACAACCATTATAAGCGGCCTACAATCCTCCATGTTTAGCTACTCTTTACAAAAGAACCCTCCTCCCAACTTAATGGCACTCATGAAGCATGCACAAAAGTACATGAACGTCGAGGAAGACCAAGCACTACAGAGGAGTGAGGAAGAGCAACAAGACCAGAAGAGGAGAGACCATGGCGAGTGCAAGTCAAATCGAGAGAGCAAAAGACAACACCAACAATCTGACCGAAGACTGAGGACCCCACATCCAACGTACAAGAACTTCATTCCTCTGAATGCACCCCAATAGAAGTCATTGCGGTAATCTCAAGCAGAATGGCCTCTGGGGGGAGAGCACCTCGCCCCGCAAGGCATATGCACGACTACACCAGGTCAGAGATAGGGAGCAGAAAAGACGGAGATAGGATGATCCGATCACCTTCATCGAAGATGACCTCAGGGGGTCTAGACTCCGCATGACGGTGCCCTCGTGATAACTGCTGAAGTGGCAAGCTTCGAAGTCTGGCACATCTTGGTGGACACAGGAAGTTCGACCCAGGGGGAGATCACCCTGCCATTGTTGATAGGGGACGACGACATCACCACCACAACAATGGTCGACTTCATCGTCGTCCAAGTCCTCTCTCCTTACAATGCCATCCTCGGTCGCCCAACCTTGAATGCCCTATGGGTGTGGCCCAAGGAAACCAAAGGACCGCAATGAAATGATACTTGACATCTTGCTGAGGAAGGCCCCACGCTGCTGAGACACTTAGCACGGAAAACAAGGATTTGAGGAATGAGCTGCAGACACAGTGCGGCCAGCTTGTGGAAGATCTCATCCAAGTGCCTCTCTTTGAAGAAGACCCGAGAAGACGATCTAGGTTGGTTCCCTCCTAGAAGACCGTCTTCAAGATGGCATAGTGCAGGTATTGAGGGACAATGCTGATGTGTTCGCATGGTCGGTGACAAATATGCTAGGGGTTGAACCCAAGGTTATCACCCCCGCCTAAACGCTGACCCGCACTACCGACCTATCAGGCAGAAGAAGGGGAGCTTCGCCTTAGAATGGTGGTAGGTGATCAATAAGTCTAGAAACCGCTTGACGCTGGCTTTATCCGAGAAGTAACCTACCCGGATTGGCTGGAGAACGTGGTAATGGTCAAGAAGGCCAATGGAAAGTGGAGAATCTACATTGATTTTAGCGACCTGAACAGGGCTTTCCCTAAAGATAGCTTCCCCCTATCGAGGATCGACCAACTCATCGACACAATGGTAGGGCACAAACTTCTAAGCTTCATGGATGCATTTTTGGGCTATAACCAAATTCGAAGAATTGACCAACTGCCAAGAGTCCACGATGAAAACACCCGGATGACCAGGAGGAAACAACGTTCATAACTGACCAAGGACAGTATTGCTACAAAGTAATGCCCTTCGGTCTAAAGAACGCCGGTTCTACCTATCATTGGTTAGTGAACCAAGTATTCAAAGACTAGATTGGCTGAAATGTAGAGGCCTACGTGGATGACATGCTGGTGAAGAGCAAGAAAGCCAAACAACACTTGGCCGACCTTAAGGAAGTTTTCGGTACCCTTAGGAAGTATTAGATGAAGTTGAACCCGATGAAATGTGCTTTCGGAGTTGGCTCCAACAAATTCCTGGGGTTCATGGTCATGTAGAGAGGAATCAAAGCTAAATCAGAAAAGATTCATGCCATCATCGACATACAATCTCCATGGACCTACAAAGAAGTGCAATGCTTCACCAAATAGATAGCCACACTTAACGGATTCATGTTAAAATCCGCGGACCGATGCTTGCCCTTCTTCAAAGTACTGAAAAAGTTAAATGACTTTCAATTCTAGGAGATGAAAAGATACCTGAATTTGCCCACTTTGCTCACAAAGCTGAGCCCTAGAGATTTACACCTGCTCTACCAATCGGTTGGGGACAAAATGGTCAGATCGGTCTTGGTAAAGGAGGAAGGCCAGACAGAAAGGCCGATCTCACTACTAGAATTCTTATCATTAGAGGCACCTGGCCAGAGGTGGTCGAGAAAACTTTTTAATGCCTTATAAAATACTAAAGGAGACAACTAGTTTTGATAACATTAGAGGCACCTTTTAATGCCTCTTAGTTTTAGTTTTGTCATTTCACTTTTGGTAGTGGTCGCTGATTTTAGATTGCCGCTCAAACAACATCGCGCACGACTTTTCTCTCGCTCTTCTCCTTTCTTCTTCCTTTCCTCTTTTTTTCTCTCTCTCCTCTCATGCCCTATTGCACTGAACACCCACCTATTGCATTAAGAGAACACCCACCTGTACTTGAACTCGAATGGGAGAAGACCTGCGTTGATTTACCTGTACTGGAACTCGAATGGGAACAAATGGCGACGCACCTGTTCAGATTGTCGTGAGTATCCTTAAGCCCATTGATCTGGTTGGTTATTTGTTCTCTATCCCCTGTTAATCTCTCTCACCCCCTCTTCTCTGTTCCACACCATTGTTGGCCATCTTCGCCCTCTCTCATTCTGTTGTTGTAACTAAGCCACCACTGCAGCATACCACGACATCCAACCTCTCTCCCATCTTCTTCTTGTGGTTGACTGAACCAAGAAGTGCTTTCTCAATCGCCGGTGACCAGACTCAACCCGAAGGCATCAAACTTGGATGAGGAAGTCGGATTGAATGACGTTGAAGAAGCCGGATTGGATGACGAAGAAACCAACCTTCCCAACCACAAGAATAATAGCAATAGAAACCCTAACGAGGTTAATAACAATGGTGTTGATAATGATGTTGATGCAAATGACTCGGAAAAGAAGGGTTCGAGGCCTCGAAAACGAAGGAAGAGAGGTGTAGAGGAGAATGTGTTGAATTGCCGGGCCAACTCTGCCATGCCGAATATTGTCGAAGAGACGGTGAGGAGTTGCCTCTCAGCGCTGTTTAAGGAGCTGCTGTATTGCACAATTAACGAACACTCAAATGGAGTAGGGTTCGGAGGGCTCGGAGGGGTGGCGTTGAATCCGCTGCCCCTGAATTTTGGGGGGTTGCGATGAGCTTCTCTAAGGGGGAGGTGGTGGACGAGAAGTGGAGGAAACAACAAGTCTTGGAGTTGGAGTTGTATTTGAAGTGGATTGAGCTGGTGCAGGATCAGATTAAGGTGGCCATAGAGGAATTGGAGGCAATGGAGAGTTGACTTGACGGAAAGTTTGTTGTGGCTACTGGTAATAAGTGTTTGGAATTTTTGGTTGATTAGTATTAATTTTTCTGGTGCATGATATTTAGTTGATATTTGTAGAGAATGGTTGCAGCATTTGAGTTTCCTGGTTTATCGTTTATTTTACAGAAAATATCAGTTCCACAATAAGATTTTCTAACATCATGTTTAGCCCAAGTTCATTAATCTGAGAAGCCAAATTGGAGGAATTGATGCAATAACTGGGGATGAATGTTTAGTTTAACATGATTTCAGTGACTGCTTTTCCTATGCTAATGTAATTTCAATATCCCAATATGCCTTTTTTAGAGTTTATTGTGCATACATTTATCTTGTTGTTTAGATATACATGTCTGAGGTTATATATGAATTCTAATCAATCATATATTTTTGGTCAGACAATTCTGTATGGTTTCCCTTAAACCATTTGGTTTTTTAGTTTGGGAGGTCAGGCAGATGGCCTTTTTGCAGTGCCAGTAATTTCTTTTTATGTAAAAAGTACTTGCCTGGAGCAATTTTAGGTCTGCTGCGTACCTGCTGAAAGTGGAGAAGAGGCAAGAGGAGAAAAGTTATGAAAAGTTTGACTTTATGGTAAATCAATTTTAGCATCTTCATTTTTTCTGTTGATCCAATCCCATGTTGTTTAAAAAGCATTGTAGTTTTCTTTTTTTCCCCTTGTACTACCTTATTCTTGCTCTTTGGCTTGTTCCAAGAAATGTTGTTTATGAACAACAATCGGGTTGCCCTTGTCCAATAAAAAGGCACCTTACTTAAATAAGATCTCTTTCTCTTCTGTATCATTATTCTCTCTGCTGCAAATTAAAGTATGTCTATGCATAGTAGGCTTACCGATCACTTTGTTCAAAATGTTACCTTTCATGTTGAACTAATTAAGTACAGAACTAACTTTAAACACATTTTGAATTTAATTCCATTTTCTATTTAACATAATCAGATAATTGTCCATCTTCCTCAAAGCAAGAACTTATTACTTGTGTAGATAATTTTTTTTGTTTTAGCAGTTTTGACAGACTAATTAGGTTCAATTTTTTTTCATTATCCCAATTGCAACCTTCTTATTATATTGTCAAAAGGAAAAACTCTTTATAACTGAAAAAACAAACACATTAGAAATAAGTATATTAATGCAGCCCTTAGTCGATTGAGATTTGATATCAGGAAGGAGAGAGGTGGCTAGTGATCATTGGGTTAAGTTTGAATATAGTAAGGTGTGAGGGGTTAACTCTTAAACTGGTTCTAAGGGGTCAATAGTTATAAGGTCAAAAATAAAAAGGGGAGAGAGAGAGAGAGAGAGAGAGAGAGCTCAATATTTAGAGGGCATGACTAATTGACAATACTTGAGAGAATTTTAGTTAGAGCTATTAAATAATGATACAGAAGTTTCTATTTTAATCTTTTTCTCTGGTAGATTTGGAGCTCCAATGAACTTTTGCTTTGTGTTAGCATCTGATTATATTTATTTTACTAGTTATGGGAATCCAAATGATTTTTTTTTTTTTTTTTTTTTAAATTTCTTTTAGTTTCAAGTAGAACTTCTTAACTCATCACCTAGCACCTCCATCTTACTCTTAGGTTTCTAGTTTCTTTGTACTCTATATATTTGAGTGGTTTAAAGGATGTGTAACAGGTTTAGACTTGGATTGGATCTAGGTTTATCATAACTTTATCCTAGAATATGCAGGAGAAAGAAAGAGAATATGTAGAGAAGGGTGAAACAAATCAAATAAAATTGTAAAGCATAAGATTGATTTTTCTTTTACAAATTTGTTGAGAATTAAAGATTTAGGTACTAAAAAGTTAAAAACTTAATATATAGAGAAATGATTTTACTACATGTGCAAAATGATATGATAAGATTTGATATTGAAGTCAATTAACCCACACATAATGTTCCTTTAACCTTTACGTGATGGAAAGCAAAGTCAAAACAGTCTTCATGTAGGTTTTAAATAATTCAAATTATCATAAGGGTTTTAAAACAGAAGTACAAAAACTAAGTGTCAATCAATTTGATTTGAAGCATATGAATACAATTACAAGATTCACAATTGAATGGTAAGATTCAAAAAAATAATACAACATTTTTTTCAGAAAAGTATTCAATCATTAAATTTGAAAATAAGCCATTGGAATTCATTATTTAAATTGTGAATTGTATTGCAAATCATAAGATTTTAACAACTATGATTTATCAAAAAAAGATTTTAACAACTATGATTTATCAAAAAAAGATTTTAACAACTATGATTGCTCACATAGGAGATGTGGATCAGAGTTTGTTATTCTCCTTATTGGAGCCAGAGTTGCCAAGTGATTGTTGATTGCCAATTTGGCATTTGAAGGAGTGATGCAGGTGGTGAGACCTCGCTTGAAACCCTGTCCAAAGAAAATTTGAAGTTTATGAGGAACAGTTGAGAACAGGGATGCATGGTCATTTATGGGCCCACTACATCAGCCATATAAGTGGGAAGTTCAAACAAGGTGGACTGCTACCTTAAGTTACCCTAGATCCTATAGGATTTGAAGATATGGATGGTTTCAATTTCTCTGCATTTTGTTGGTGAAGTGGCTTTTTTCATAAATATCAATCTCCAAAAGTGATCCTAGCTATGTTGAGAACTTGAGATCTTAGTAGACCTATTTCATCCTATGGATTGAAGCTACATTCTACATGATTGAGTCAAGTCTTGTTCTTGCCTCTTTACTTGGTTCAAAAACAACTTACTCTAAATTGTTCAAGTATGTCCTAGTAAATGTTGATTTTGGAGGGCAGCACATTAGGGCCAATTTAAAAACAAATTGGGATAAAATGAAATGAAATTTTGTGCTTGTTTAATCAGAATGTTAGTAGGTTTTACAAAATTATAGAAAATATAAGTTAATATTTGTTATGCAAACTTCCTAAAATATACAAACCATTAAAAAAAGAGATATATCGACTCCTGAAGGGTTGTGGGCTTGCTAAAGGAAAACAACATCAGACCAATAAAAAAAAAGGAAAAAAGCTGCTTTTTGGAAATGATATATTATGAGGGAGTTGAAGCAGATGGCTTTGGAACTAGGTTCTATTATGAGCTTATGACTGGTGGATGGCTTAGTAAGACAAGGGGTAAGATGGAGTCAGCTGTATTTGATTTTGGGTTTGGGGGGGGGGGAAGGGGTTTCTCTCAAGAAGGGTCAATGTAAAAATACATGAAGGAATGATTAGCATGGCCTAGGCCAATAAATAGAGGCACCTGGCACAAGATTATACTAAAACTATTCATTCATTCGTTCATTTATTTCAATAAAATCCTTTACCGTTACTAGTTAAAAATCATGATATTTACAAAAATATTACTATTTTTGAGAAAGGGTACCGATTTCGTTCAACAAAAGAATCCTTTATTGTTACTTTCAAGATAAGTGATGTGTACAAGAATATTACTTTGGTAACAAAACCTGATGAAACTATGACATAATTGAGATCTTCATATCCAGAACAATCTGAAATGGCCTGGGGCATCTGCTCAGCTAGTTTGAGTTTCCCTTGGGCATATGCTGAGGTTGTGATTGCCAATTCCAAACTTTTTCTCAAATTTCAGCTTCTCTCCATAGTTCAATTTCGGCTTTCAGTGCCTGCATCAACTTGATAACTTGCCCGGGACACTGCCTAACTGGTTTTAGACTTTTAGTCACTACATGCCCTTGCATTTTCTTATAGTTTTTCATGAGATCCCATCTGCTGCAACACTTCCTTGCAGTCCCCCCAATTTAACATGGATATGCTAGTGATGGAAATAAAAAGCAAATCATGTTATGTTCTGAATTTTAACAAAGGGTTGGCATGTCCATGTTAAATTGGGGAGTTGCAAGGAAGTGCTGCAACCACAGTTGCAGCAGATGTGCTCTCTAACTATGCATTGTACCATAAATTATTTACAAACAGTTGTCTTTTCTGTTATTCCTACCAACTTATTATGTTGGAGGATCCTACTTATCAAAATACTCAAACCTACAATGAAAACTATCTCAAAGAAATCAAAATGTAGGTGTCAGTGAGGCTTGAATGTCTGTAAGAATTCAAACGAAGACCATGGATAAGCAAAACTGTTGAGAAACAATGATGCAGATCTTTCTCTCTTGAACTAAGTCAATGACACCTTGTGCTGAAAGATTTTTTCTTCTATCCCACTGATTCCATCTCCAGTTTTGAGTATGCATATCAATCCTTGGAAGTGTATGATTTTTTGATTGAGTTATCACACCTGAATTTTGTCCTCCCATAACAGCGATGGAGTGAAGTGAATTTAAATTGGGCTCTTTGCCTTGGTTCGGCTTTCCTTACCAATGGTCATTTCATGCAAGTCAGATTTGTGGGCATCTCCCAGTCAGGAATTCAGAGCCACTTACTAGGTAGACTAATTGAAGCCCAGGTACTTTTCCTTAGATTTTGTGCTTTGGTTTGAACAGAGTATAAGAAGGTTTCCCTTAGGGGTAGATGTCACTTACTGCAGAAACCAAAATCTGGGTATCTCCATCCCTGAGTAAGTGGCAGTTGTTGGACTGAGCTTCTAAAAGAATCACAGGGATTGCCATTGGGTAAGTAGATGTCACTTACTGCAGAAACCAAAATCTGGGTATCTCCATCCCTGAGTAAGTGGCAGTTGTTGGACTGAGCTTCTAAAAGAATCACAGGGATTTCCATTGGGTAAGTACCCTTGCTAAATTAGTTCCTCGCCTTCTCACGCTGAAAGTTGTTCTTACATTGTCATTGTTTATGCATGCTTTGCATTTGGATGGATAGCTGCCTGTATCGGACTTCACATTCTGCTTTTACAGTTTCTGCTTATATGATGCATTTGCTCTCTAGATAGGTTTGTAACTCCATCTTAGCTATCTCTTGTCAGCCTTAGCTTGTCATTTCTAAATCTTGTTCCTAATTCTGGTAAGCTCACTCAATCCAAGGGAACCTAAGCTCCTTTGACCTTGATGTGCAGGGGTATGTATCTATGTTTTCATTATCAATGAATGACTCTTGACTGTTATTATCTACCCAGCTCACTCATTGGGCTAAGGGCTTTAGTTCCTTTGCTTGATCACAGTGGTACATCAAAGCATGTTTAGGAGATAATGTAGACAATAAGGGTAGGTTTAGGGTAAACTTGAATCTAGGAGTCAAAGCTCTAATTTCTATTCTTAAGACAATATCTCAACATGCAACTCATGTGAAGGATGTAAAGATACACCAGTTAATGGGTCCTAGCAATGAATATTGTCCAATTCAAAGACCTTGTGATCAGTTAGTGTTTAATAAGTATTTGTGGCATATTTTTTTTTCCTGAAAATAGATCATATTCTTTGCATCTTCTCAAGAAGAATATACTAAAAGCATGTGGTTGTCATCACATGATCATTGTCCCATAGATTTTCTCAGTTGGACTCTTCAATGTAGGATCTTGATCCCTGAAAGCTTCTGTCTATATATTTGCTTAAGGATGACCATTTAAAGTCCAAGTGATACCATTTTCCAAACTCAGATTGGACATAACTGTTTTAGCCACTGGGTCACAGGTTGAACAGCTAAATTGTTTGGTCAACTACTCAATTCTCTCAAAACAATAAAAAGACCACAAATGTACAAAATTAGAAAAATAGTAAATGGTTCCAGATTATCTTTTAAAGCTATTTTGCACCAAAATAAGCTTAAAGCAATATATGTACCACACCGACTGGCATGTATTTGGGAAATTTGACCAAGTCAAACATTTCTAAGAACTAGGCATCCCAAGAACCATTTTGGCTGCTGGTTCCCAGTCTGAACAATCCGATTGGGATTTAAATATGATTCAATATATAACAGTTATAGCTTCTTTTGGTTGCTCCTGCATCAATATTTGATTTGAATTTGACTAATCAGATTTTAAATAGGATTTAAATATTGAAATTCATAATAAAATCAACTAAAAATGACTTCCAAACAAATCCTAACCTACTCCTTAGTTAAAAACACAACACTTGAACCAATTGTACTAATAATTATGTATTGACAAGTCTTTATTGAAGTATTGTAAGTTCTGAACTTTATCATTTCAATCGGAGTGCACAAAAACTTATTTCAATAACGAATAATATCTTGACTTGACAGCAGCTAGTGGTGCCAAGGAGTATGGTGAATCTACACCTCCTTCAACAGAACTTTTCAAGTTTGAGGATCACTTCATAAGTTGATATCATAAATTAACCACATAATTTTGATGTGTGGTTTAGTCATTAACTAATGGTTGTGGTATAATATAGAGTTTACACTTAAATTCATGCTCTGGATAAATTGTTGCTTCACTTCCAATTTGTGATTATGTAATCTACAATACAGGAACTAATTAACCAAAAAAGGTAAACTTCTTGAATTTCAAAATTATCAAAACTGAATGTTGATTGATATATATTGTCATAGATGTCTATACCATTCAATTTGGTAGCTATAACTGCTGATCTGGGCTTTGATTTCAAATATGAGATGAAGATTTTCTTCAATTGAAAAGCAGAAAGCATACTTCTTTTAAATTTATATCTTCCTTATAACACCTACATATTATTCACTAGAACGGGACTCCACTGGTATCATTTCTTTATGAGAGGGGATGGGGTCAAAGCTTTTCTTTCTTTGGTGGTTTTCCAGGCCCGGGCAAAGAGGTAATATGATTTTTTTTTGAAGTATTTTCATTTGGAAAAAAATACTGATGGTCATTATTCCAAGGAAATATGAAAAACATGGTAGGATGTAGTGGTGCATGAAATGGGTCATATCTGGAGTGGCTTTATTCTGAACTGGGTCTAGCTTCAAATAGAAACACCTCTCATGGGTTTCAGATCTGTATCTAAGTTGTGCTTAATGAGGTGAATCTATATATTTGGACCAGTGTCTGGTTGTCACCCATATCCGTCCCAAATCATATTCAGATCTACATTATCGTATCCATCTCATATCACCCTAGTATGTGGTTCCTCTGAGATGATCCAGACAAGCTAAATATTGGTATGCAGTAGACATGCATATTATCATATTTTTCGTAAATATTACAAATTTACGTATAATTATTTTTATTTCATTTTTTGTTGCTATATGTGATTAGATGATCAATGGCTATTAATTTACAAAAATTATATCTATTTACTTTGTTTTTTTTTTCTTTTTGTTGCTTTTCTTTGCAGGTTGTAGAGGAAGAAAGGATTGGATGAAGACTACAAAGAGCATTTTTTTTGAGATGTTAAAAGGAATTTCTTTTGGACTATTTTATATTTGATTTGTAGGTTAAAAAAAGAAGACATCTATTCAAAAGGAAGAACGAACATAATGAGGGCTGAATGTTGTGTTTTTTTGTTTTTAAAATGATGATGGAAGTCAATTGGAATTTTATGGATAAGGTGTATCTTTTTGGATTTTATATATATTTTTATACAGGTTTTATGTTTTGATTGGTGTATCCATTAGAATTTTTATGTAGCAATATTCACAATATATTGCACTTTTTTTTTTAAAAAAAATTGGAACTTTTTTAGAGACGGCCAAAAGTGCCTCTAAATATGAAAACATACAGATTTTTTATTTTCTTACATTTAGAGGCACATAAAATTGCTGCAAAATCATTTAGAGGCATTCAAATGCGCCTCTAAATTAAACTTTCAGAGGCACTTTTAACCGCCTCTATACAAGATTTTTAGCGTCAATGCAATAGAGGCAGTATGTGCCTCTAAAAGTCCAATTTAGAGATGGATTTATAATCTGCCTCTAATGTTCAATCAAGTGCCTCTAAAACATTTAGTAGCAAGGCTTTTAGAGGCACTTACCTGGCTGCCTCCTATAACATTTGGAGACATTTTTTAAGTTTTTAGAAATAGTTATGACCACCTCTATAGATGATTTTTCCAGTAGTGTCTACTACACCAGCAAAGTCTTCTTGGCTGAGTGCACCTTCTCAACACAGGACCCAGTCGAGGTCCCACTAGCCTGGACTCTTCATGTGAACGACTCATCTAACTAGCAAGGCAACAAGACCGGATTCATACTCCTTAGCCTGGACAACACCGTCCTAGAACACGGATTCAGATTCGAGTTCAAAGCGTCCAACAATGAGGCCAAGTACAAAGCTTTAATAACTGAACTTTGGCTCGCCCTAGACCTTGGAGCTAGGCGAGTTGAAGCTTTCAGTGGCTCCTAGCTTATGGTCAACCAGGCCCTCGACCACTTTGAAGCAAGGGTGCCAACTATGGCGAGCTACTTGCAGAAGGTGTAAGGGCTAATTCAACCACTCAAACACTTTACCATACAGCAAATCCCCCGAACCGAGAACATACGAGCCGATGCACTTTCAAAGCTCGCTAGCTCACCCCGCACAAACCTTGGCACGACCGTTAGAATGGACATCCTAGCACAGCCCAACATCTTAGAGACAACCATGGTGATCATCCCTATCCAGTAAGAGCCATCGTGGATGGACCTCATAATAGTATCTATAGGACGACACTCTGCCAGCTAACCAAGCTGAAGCAAAGAGGCTTGCCCACAGGTCAGCCCGATACTGTCTTATCCAAAGATAGTTCTACGCTGGTCACACACTCTCCCCTACCTGAGGTGTCTCCCCCTAGTCGAGGCCGACTATTTCCTCAGGGAGATAGACGAGGGTATCTGCAGAGACCACCCTGGTGCTCGAACCTTGGCTCATAAAGCACTTTGGCAGAGCTACTTCTGGCCCACCATGAAGATGTAACTCAACTCGTCAAGAAGTGCGATCACTATCGGAGACATTCGGACCTTCACCACAACTCCCCTAATGCCCATCACCAATCCATGGCCCTTCGCCCAATGGGGGATGGACATCCTTAGGGCCTTCCTCATTGTGGCTGGGCAAAAGAAGTTTCTCCTCGTTGCGGTGGACTATTTCACTAAGTGGGTGGAGGCCGAACCCTTGGCATGCATCACCGCGTAGAACGCCCAAAATTTCTTTTGGCAGAACATTATCTTTCGTTTCGGTATTCCTTGGGTCCTCATCACCAACAACAACTCTCAGTTCACTAATTGAAAGTTTGAATCTTTCTATGCCAAGCTAAAGATAGACCACCGGACCACGACCGTTCACCAACCACAGAGCAACGAATCGACCAAAGTGACCAATTGAACCCTTCTCCATGGCCTGAAGACCAGGCTTAACAAGGTTAAGGGCAAGTGGGTCGAAGAACTGTCAAGCATCCTTTAGTCCTATAGAACCACACCGCATACAACTACCAGAGAGACCCATTTCAGCCTAGCGTACAGAGCCAAAGTGATGATCCTCGTAGAGATCGGTTCTCCCACTCTCTGGACTGATCTCTACAATGACGAACAGAACAATGATGACCTTTGTGTAGAGGTCGACTTAGTTGAAGAGGCCCGCAACCGAGCACACCTCAGGATGGTGGCAAAACAATGCAAGATGACCAAGTACTATGACTCTAAAGTTTGGAGGAGGAATTCAAGACAGGAGACCTCGTCCTCTGCAAAGTCATAGTACTCGTGCTAGGAGAAATGATGCTCGGACCAAATTGGGAGGGTCTGTATAGAATAACAAAAGTCCTCGGCCCAAGTACCTACAAACAAGAAGAACCAGAGGACGAAGAAGAAGACATCTTACCAGACAACAAAGACTACACCACAAATAACCAAAGCACCAGTTGAGCACTACTTTTCGTCAAACTCCAAGGAGAAGACTCTTCGCAAATGACAGTGAAATGGCTCTCCGTTCCTCTTTTATAGGACACCCAACGACCCAGATCAAGTCAGATCAACGGTGTCGATTCAACGCCGCCCTTTGACACCTCGGGAAGACGAAGCGCCGCCGCCGCTCTCCATACGTGTGTAGCCTCGGGGAAACAAAATGATGCACGCACCGACCTGTCTCAGAAACGGCACGGGCATTGAACCGGCCGATTCACCTAGCGGACCGGTTTCATCCCGATCCACTCAACTCAGGAAAGTGAGCTCAATTAGAATCAAATTTCCTCAACTGAGGACTACAAAGCTCTTCCACGCCACACCACGACCGAGCACTACACTCCTTGGCTGCAGAATTGGGGGAGTGGTGTTTTGGTTATGGTTGAGCTGGCCACGAGCGCCACATGGCAGCCTTCGTGGTCGTGTTACCTCTCTAGCCACATCGGCACCATGTAAGACAGATAAGAGCGGCCAAGAAGGAGAGCCCCATACAAACATGGAAGACAACTCCGCCGGGGAAGAAGACTTATCTCGAAGACCTCGGCGGGTAACCTCATCCTGACAACCCTACAAGTCTTATCCGAGTTGGACATTGATGATGTGCAATCTGGACGCTCCCTCGTGTCAGGTGACTAGGCTCGAACAAGAGTCAAATCTAGTAGGGCCGAGCTGTATTGCCGAGCTGTTATCTGAGTGTCCAAGCTGAAAACGAGCTGCAAGGAAGAGATGGGTGAGAGTGCCCGGGTATGTTTTCCCTCGGGAGAGCACTCCAATGCTTAAGTCAGAAAGGGGGTTGTAAGAATTCTCTTGAGAGTCTGAGAGAGCTAAGTATATCAGTGCGCATACCTTTTTTGGGTGGATTTGGAGCCCTTTTATAGTTATGTGGGGTTCAGGTGCTCTGGGCAATGTCTCTGAGCCTTTGGCGGAGCTGTTTCCGCAATATGAGGCGTGTTAATGTCAGTTGCTAGATTTGTGCGGCGGTTACAGGTAGCTCGCGGGACTTGTGGCGCACGGTTCGGCGAGCTGCTCCTATGGTCGTGGTAACGGCGCCCTCGAGGGCGAGGCATGTGAAACGGTTTGGGCAAGCTCGCACTGTCGGTGGCTCAAACTCGCCCCAGCTCGGCCGCTTACCTGATGTTGGATGACATGTACTGACTCGTTGAGCTGGCACATTAACTTGACATTATGCTGTCAATAGCGTTCATGTGTCATTATTTGTGTGAAGGGACCAAAGTGCCCCTCATCAGACACAAATCTTCAGCTATAAATAGGTAACCTCCACTTAGGGTAAGGGACTTTTGAATCCTTAGACTTTTACTTTGCCTCTTTTTCTCAGATCAACATCCTTCTCATCTGCTCGGCTTGACTATTTACCTTTCGTTCCACTGACTTGAGCGTCGGAGTGTCTACCCGGGGAACAACTCCTTGGGCCTTTGATCTTTTCCTTGATTTCAGATCTTGGTGCACGATTTCGTCCTTCCACCTCGATTTCACCAATTGGCAGGACTATCTGACTGCGATCTTGGTTCGAGATACCTCGGATCGGACAACATCAATTAGAACCATAAGTGTCTTCATGATAATATATGATTTAAGACGGAAAGAAAAGAAAATTGAAAGCATCTTGTTGCTCACATTCACAGTATAGTATGTAGTTTAGAAATCCATCTGAACAGCTCATTGTTCTCTTCCATCAAGCTCGTTTTGCTGTTACTGAACAAGGATCTTGCAGGGGAAAATGTGGTGCTCTTGTATGCTTCTATGTACCCTGATGTACATACTATTATCAATGTTTCTACAGCCGCTTTAATCTGGAGAGAGGGATTTTATTGATGTTAAGGATAAAATAAAGTGATAAAAGTTTATAATACGACGATAGTTTTGTTTAATTTGTATGTTATTTGGTTGAACTTATCATGAATACCTACCTGTAAAACTTTCTTTCAAGAATGAACAAGTGAAGTCATTTGGTTTTGAGAGTGAGGATTGGGTGGCAAGCATGCACTGCTGTGTTTCATTGGCCACATATACATTATTTGGTTAGGAACACTGACTTTTTAATTGCAAAAAAGGAGAGAAATCCTTAAAACAAGAAATGCCAAATGCAGCTTCAGTAATGTAAAGTTAGTATATACTTTTAGGTTCTATGGGATATGTAAATTTCCATACGTGGACTACAAAAATAATTATTACATAGATAAATATTTCAGAAAAATACAGAAAAAACAATGAAATCTAAATAACCCATACACTATGCCTTGACAGAATTAGAATTTTAGATTTTCTAGCAATGCTATCATAACTCATAAATTATGTGGGGCAAAACTCTCAAAATACAAAAGGAGATCATAAAGGGGGCCTTTGTCCAAATAATCAGGGTTATGGGGGTTTCGCATATTTTTTGACCTCCTAGAATATAACAGTGAAATTTCCAAATCACAAAACACATCTAATTTCAAATATATTAGGTAATATATAGATATCAAGAGAGATAATATCATAAAAGCCAAAAAGGGAAATAGTAGGAGAGAGTATGAAACATACCCCTTCATCTAGCAAAATCTTCAGGAGGAACTACTGTGGACTCAGATTTACACTTTGCATGCACGATTGGACCTAGTTGGGATTTGTCCATGTTTGTCGGTGTGCCATCAGGTGCATTTAAGTATACAGCCCCTTTATACATCCCTTCCTCTATCTCATCACTGTAAAAATCATCAAAGGGCTCTCCACATAATACACATACATTCTGATTCTCGTCAGCATGATCAACCATTTCTTTATCATTCTTCTTCTCAGCAACAACTTCAGTGGGCAAAAACCCAGGAATTGCATCAACTCCCAATGCTTTTGCACCATTGAGCCACACATTAGTACTCACAAACCCAGTATATCTGATTCTTTGTAACGTGCCAATCCATGTGACTACTGTGTTCCTCTTGGCACTTGAAACGTAAGCCACAAGTAGTGCACTGTCTTGGAAGATCAGCATATAGAGCCTTTTATTGCAGACTCATGTTGCACCTCAAGGAGATCCAGATGGAACTCAACTCCTATGGAATCATGACAGAAGGGATTACTGTCTTAAGATATAACATTATGCTATTTCGCCAAGAACAACATTTCAACAAGAATAGCTAAAAAAATATACATTACTTAGATGTACTTGAACTGAAGCAGGTGCTGTCAATGAGATCAAACCTTGAGCCATGAGAGAACTAATCAGACCTGAAAAAGCACTCCCACTAGATGCATGAGTTGCAATAGGGCCCACATTTTGAGATATAGGTTCTGTCTGCGATGAGACAAGAGGGGGCCTGGAGGTAGAGGAGGCAAGGCCCACCCCGACAAATGATGATGGTAGCCCGGGTATTAGATTAGGTAAAATTGAACTTGTAACAGGTAAATGCCCTTGTGGGATATGTCCATGATTCAAGGGTTCTTCCATTTTGTGAGTTGATATGAGCTTAAGCCCTTCTTTTTGTGTTGCATTAAATTTCATGCAGTCAAGCACAGCTAAAGGAAAAAAGTTAAATGTAATCATCATCATATAGACCACAAGACGTTACAGATGACCATAATGCCTTCAATGCAGAGGAGTAAATGGAACTACTTTAAGAATACTATCTTACCAAAACCCTGGGGGCTTCCAATATTCCAAGGGGCATTAAATCAATGAAATAGAGGAGATGAGGCATGTTTAGTCAACTATTCACGTGTTTTTGACAGTTCAATAAGATAAGGCATTGCAAGAAAGCTGATACCTTGGCATCTTGATTCCAGATGTTTCCTCTTAGAGTTACCAGCATTTGTTAACTTTCATCTCGGAAAGAAAAAGGAGAAAAAAGATTGGTTTAGAAGAAAACCTGCTAAACCGTCTCCATGGTTTTCATCTGAAAAACCCTGGCCAAGAATCCTCTTTTCAAAACATGGAAATTATGTGGAAAGTAAGAGAACATGTTAGTGTAGTGATGTGGTCTGACTTATCTATGGTCGCCCTCACTGGTTAGTTTTATCTGGTGGAGAACAAAGAGAATCGAGAGAGAGAGATTGAGATTCACCTGCGCTTGGATGCCTTCCGATGGCGTGAAGCTGGAGGAGAGAGACGGTGGTGGTTGTGCAATGTTCGATTGAAAGAGGAGAGAGACGGAGAGGATGATTGAGAAAGAGAGATGACAGAGAGGAGAGAGACAGAGAGAGTACTAAGAGAGAGAGAGAGAACTGAGAGAGGAAAGAGGCAGAGAGGGCGCTTGAGAGAGGAGAGACAGAGAGGGCGACTGGGGGAGGAGAGAGACATAAAGAAAAATGCGAAGAGGACGAGACTATTTACAGTGGCAGTCAGTTCTTATTTTGTGGCAGTTTTAATTGACTGCCACTAAAAAGCCAATATTTCTAGCGGCAGTCATGTATCTGTCACCTTAAAACTGCCGCTAGAAATAATATTTCTGTAGTGATAATGCAGTTTAAAAAAAAAAAAAAAAAAACCATACCCGAGAGTGTGAAATCCCTTATCTGTTTTAGTGATTCCTCTACTTTTGGTATTATAAAATGTTTTACTGATGGAATACTAACTAGTGGACCTAACTGTTTATTTTTGAAAGTTCGGGGTACCCAAGTGTTGGTATAAATAGTGGAGTTCTCTGCATTTAATTGGTATAAATAGGTTAGTTACAGGCATAGTTGGATTTATCATTAAGTAGAAATTGATAAATATGAACCAACGCAAGTAATGGTAGAATAAACCATAGAGAGATATCTAATTGAACAAACTAAGCTTCCCTGAAATCAGAGAGTAATACCCAGATAAGAGCTAACAAAAAATACATAGAGGAAGTTGAACCCCTGTAAACTGAATGTGCAACTTTTACGGTTTTACCTGGGAGGACACCCACAAAGTAAAGAAATAACTGAAAAGGAGAAGCTGAGTTTCACATTGTTTTAATCACAGGATCCCCAATCAATCAGAGGTACAAAATTAAATAAAAAAATAAAACAAACTCCTCCGCAAATTTGCAGCAGCAGAAAAAAGAAAAGAAAAGAACTTCAAGTAGACCCACATTACGAATCTAAGGAGAAATATAGAAAAATGAACACTTCTGTACAAAGAACCCACCTTTAATCTCCTAAAGACCAGATTGCAGATGAACTCTATTGGCCTCCAGCATCCTGGAGACATCCTTGCCAGAGTCATACGCCCTTATGAAATGGTCCTCCACATCCTTCAGTGCTTCCAATAATTCCTACCCCTTTCAAGTGTATCGATCACAGTGAGCCCCTTCTGCTCTCCACCGTTGAAATTAGCATTGCTCACTACATCTACAACCTCTGCTCCACTTTCTTCATGTTTCACATCTTCCTCAATCATCATTGTATTCTGCTCTCCTCTTTCTCTTTCTTCGTCTTCTTCCAGCTCTGGTATACCTTCCTCCTCCCTCACCACCTTCAAGTCTTCATCGGAGCTCCGACTGAATCCACCAATCACCTCTGCTATCACTTGTTGCAAAGAGAAGGTAATACAGTAGGAAATATCTAGTGAATGAAAACAACACACTGCATAATTTCATTAAGTAAATGGCCTTTAAATAGGCACATACATCAACAGATAGAAGCATAAAAATAGGAACCAGTAACCACTAAGCTAAAAATTTGGTAAAATCACAACCACTTAACAAACTTGCTGAAAACTAGTTCAGCAATGCTCCAACTAATAACAATTTTCTTAAAAACTAGGACAGCTGACAAACAAAATATAGATTTTTTTCAACAAACCCTCCCTTAAACTGATGTCTACAGACATCCAGTTTAAAACATTCAGAATCCCCTCAAACTGAGTCTTCCAGACTCCAAATTCCAAGTAATTTCCTCAATTTCAAAAAAACAACCAATTTGAGGGGCTTAGTAGAAACATCAGCAACTTGGTCCTCACTTCTACAATAAACGAGATCAATGACTTCATCCTTTGTGAGATCATGCAAGAAGTGATACCTCACGTCTATGTGCTTGCATCTTTCATGAAGAACAGGATTTTTGGAGAGCTTAATTGCTGAATTATTGTTGCAGGAAATCTGGGTAGAACCTGGTTGCTCCATATACCTGCTAATAAGACTTACAACATACATTAAATCAGGTCGTGTTGCTATCAAGTACATTAAACTTCTGACCATTTGCTTAATGAAATTACGCAGTGTGTTGTTTTCATTCACCAGATATTTCCTACTGTATTGCCTTCTCTTTGCAACAGTGGTATCAGAGCTACAAAAGTGAAAAAGGAAGAGTGCAGCAACAACAACTCTTTCTTTCATTGCAGCAACAATTTCTATGGCTTCTGAAAATTTTGTTCAACCTGCAATCCCACGCTTTGATGGTCATTATGATCATTGGAGCTTGCTGATGGAGAACTTCTTGAGGTCCAAAGAATATTGGCAGGTCGTTGAAAGTGGCATAAAAGAGGCAGCAGCTGGAGTTGTTTTGACAGATGCACAAAAGATAGAACAGGAGGCACAAAAACTAAAAGATTTGAAGGGAAAAAATTATCTCTTTCAAGCTATTGATCGTTCAATATTGGAAACAATTCTTTGCAAGGACACCTCCATGCAAATATGGGACTCCATGAAGAAGAAGTATCAAGGGAACACAAGGGCGAAGCGTGTGCAACTCCAAGCTCTTCGTAGAGAGTTTGAGGTTCTTCAAATGAAGTTAGGGGAGTCAGTTTCAGAGTATTTTTCGAGGACAATGGCAATTGCAAACAAGATGCGGATTCATGGAGAGAAGCTAGAGGATGTGACCATTGTTGAAAAGATCCTTCATTCAATGACACCCAGGTTTAATTTTGTGATTTGTTCTATTGAAGAGTCTAAAGACATTGATACTCTTTCAATAGATGAATTGCAAAACTCTTTGTTGGTTCATGAGCAGAAAATAACCCAGCAAGACAATGAAGAACAAGCACTGCAGGCAGCAACAAGTTCAAGAGGGCATGGAAAGGGTGGATGGAAAGGCAAGAATACACACCATAGCGAAAATGCCATAGCCATGCTGTGTCTTTTAGTTTTGCAGCGAGACATTTGTGGGTAATGTGATGGAGATACAAAGGAAACATCCGATTTGATGTCATCTTTACTTGGGCAATTAAACCCAACTTTTCATATTGGATTCGACAAACTCCATCCTTAATTGAAACCTCATATCCCTTTTCTTGAAGCTGGCCAACATTAAGCAGATTAGTTTTTCGATTTAGAACAATTAACACATTGGAAATAGAATGAGACTTTCCTTTGGTTTGAATTATAACACTTCCTTTTCCCAAAACAAATACTCTAGAGTTATCACCAAATTTAACAGTATATCGAAATGATTCATCCAAATCAGAGAAAATTGATTTGTCTTCACACATATGGTTGCTGTAGCCCGTATCCAGCTACCATAAATTCGAGTGAGTTTCCTCCATAGTATGACACACCATTAGGAGAGAAACTTCTTCTTTTTCCTTTTCTACAAAGTTAGAACTTTCCCCTCGATGTTTATTTAAATTTGTATGACATTCTGAGCGATAGTGACCATACTTGTGACAACGATAACATTCCACCTTGGATTTGTCAGCTGACTTTGGTTTAGATCCTGTTGAACTCTGAGCATCATGAGCCTTCCAGTTTCCTTGAGATTCAACACCTTTATTGTCTCCTTGTCTCTGGTGTGTATTCTTGCCTTTCTATCCATCCTTTCCATCCACCCTTTCCATGCCCTCTTGAACTTGTTGCTGCCTGCAGTGCTTGTTCTTCATTGTCTTGCTGGGTTATTTTCTGCTCATGAACCAACAAAGAGTTTTGCAATTCATCTATTGAAAGAGTATCAATGTCTTTAGACTCTTCAATAGAACAAATCACAAAATTAAACCTGGGTGTCATTGAATGAAGGATCTTTTCAACAATGGTCACATCCTCTAGCTTCTCTCCATGAATCCGCATCTTGTTTGCAATTGCCATTGTCCTCGAAAAATACTCTGAAAYTGACTCCCCTAAYTTCATTTGAAGAACCTCAAACTCTCTACGAAGAGCTTGGAGTTGCACACGCTTCGCCCTTGTGTTCCCTTGATACTTCTTCTTCATGGAGTCCCATATTTGCATGGAGGTGTCCTTGCAAAGAATTGTTTCCAATATTGAACGATCAATAGCTTGAAAGAGATAATTTTTTCCCTTCAAATCTTTTAGCTTTTGTGCCTCCTGTTCTATCTTTTGTGCATCTGTCAAAACAACTCCAGCTGCTGCCTCTTTTATGCCACTTTCAACAACCTGCCAA